AGACCTTTTCGCTTGCTTTGTCAGAAATTATCTGACGAATTTCTGCAGGGAGAGGGTAAAACTCTCACATCGCAAAGACGCCGATTTGGATATCGAGTCGCGTAAACTCTTTTTGCTACTGCGGCATTTTGAAGACATTCAAAATAAACTGCAAGCATATCAACAGCTTTATCGTTCGTAGAACGCATTTGGTTAGCAGAAAACTTGCACAAAGTAGCGCGAAATTATTGACAACTATTGACAATTTGAGGATTATTTATGTTTTGATTGGGTTTAGGTATATTTTGTTGTATTCCATGGCCTGCTTCTTATTTTATATTAGTTGTCTATTTCGTATATACCCATAGTGAATATGCACTTGAGCAAAAAAATATGCCTTTTGTTATCAGCATTACTTAGCTACCTTTGAGCGATATTTTTTAATATTTTCAAAAAGGTTGACTTTACTCTGATGAATAAAAAATAATTCCAGAAAAATTAGTTTAAAAAAGTAAAAATAAAACTTTCTTAGGCCTAAATTTTTGGTTAGGAATGAGATGCGGATTTTGCAAGCTAATTTTTCATAAAAATATTATACCAATATACATATAATTTTTTGAGAAAATTAACCATGTTTGTCGGAATGTCGAAAAACTTCAAGTATCATAACGTTTGTAGAATAACTCTTTATAACTAGCCGTTTCGAAGATACAAAGTGTTTTTACGGAAGCCTTTTAATACCCCCCACCACTTAATTTTTAGAGGTACAGCAAGAATTGACAAACAAAGAAATTCACATTATCCTCGAACTTGAAGACCAGGCATTTTTTTGTTATTTTGTAGGGTTAATTTAGCGGAATTGGTCACCCTGAACATATGCAATAGGTATGCCTCTATGTTTTGTAAAGTCAGACATACGTTCTTCGGCTTCGTCTTGCCACCTCGTAAATTTCCTCGCCAACGTATGGGAATTCTTACTTTATGCTTGTCACTGTCAGTCTAACCACTTGATATGGGCGTACCATTTTAGGTTTACCTTTTATTGATCTTCATAATATTAAACTTAGCATCAGTTAAAAATACAACTAACAGAAAATATCGATAGCTAAAATTATTGGAGAATTTTGAAAAAAGTAAACGAAAGTAATGTTCTTTTATTAGTCAATGTATGTGTGCAAGGGTAGCTGCGTTTAATATCGATATGCTCAGTATACCATTTTCCTATGGTGCTTCAGCTAGTCACATGGATCAGTTGGTCGTTTTGCTTACTTATTTCGTATATCATTGATAATGTAACAGCCAATAATCATGAAAAGATGTCCTGCTATAAATTAGCTGTCCTATATTTTATTTGTATGAGAGTCTAGGAAAAAGTTTTATAGAAATGTTGTTCGGTACAATATAAAGGTTTTTATGGCTTGGCTTCTCAAGTGTTTTAGAAAACCCTTATCGCTAGTCTCCTTTTACCCAGATCAGCGGCAGAGATTGGCCTGTCACTCTAAATTCCTGCATGTAAGAGTGCGGTCACCGGCAAAGCTATGGATTGAGTTGGATCGTACATGAAAGGAGGTCGTTGATATATGAGAGGAAGATCCTGGGGAACATCACCGATTACGTTGTGGGATGAAGAGGAGAATCTGTCAATTATGACGGATATCTTGAGGCCAGAGTCGGCCACCCATATGCAAAGCTTCTCTGGGAGGTCATAGGATGGAAGGATGCATGCAACGACATGAGCCTCACCATTAGACTGGATGGGTTTACTCCACTGTTGAGCAATGTAAGCAAGGATGTGTCTCCTTTGTCGTGACTTTCTGGGTACCCCAGAAGCCCCCGATTTATTCACATCTCCATAACCTTTCTTATAACAGAAAGCTTGTAGTTGTAAGGGTCGATCCCTTTTTTGGGTTGAACAAATATCCAGTCTTCCTATCTTGGCAAGCACTTTCGCCTTAGCTTTTGAGTCGGTTAAAATCATTTCTTTCTGGCACATAAGTGATGGAAGGCTACTCCTTGGGATGTTCCTTCCAATTTGCTTGGTCAGCGTCTAGAATGTCCAACTGAAATTGCGCTGCAACATTACCTTGTGCCTAATTTATGCATCGTAGGGGTTTTTTGCATTGCAGACCATTGCGTTATAATTTTTTCTCGACTCAACGTCGGCTTTTCTGTTTTCTGCAGTAGGGTTTTGTAAAAAGGTTCTATCTGCCTTGACCTTCTGCAGACGAGCAGTGTCCTAAGATATGGTGAACCAGCCGTTGGACCCTAGTTTAGGCACTTTCACTGCATGAGGTATGTATTTCTCCATCTCAACGTGGATAATTCCTGTCATTGATGAACAGACAGCACTCATATCCACCTCAGCAAAACAAACATCTCTACAAGGAAAGGTGGGCATGTCCGTCATGCCAAATTTTGTGACCTGGGTGAGTTTTTTCTGCCACAGCCGATTCTGACCGAAACCTAACCTCTCCAATACTGTAGTCTGACTGACCCAAGGGGGAGACAGGACATGATAGTTTGCGTGGTCAGAGAGAGATACAGCAGGTTACTGGCATGTGGCGAAACGCGAGGGACTGACCCAGCTCATCACCAGCTGGGTCAGTCCTTTGGTAATAGCTAAAGCCTCGACAGCACGACCTGCTGCATCGGTCTTGTTTGAGCCCAACCAGAGCCCATTACGGGCATTCAATTCACCGAACAGAAAACTACCTATAAAGCGGCGTGATTGATGTTCAGAGAGTCGATTTTGACAGCGAGGTATTCAATTAGGTAATCCCAGTTTTGGTCCGAACGATAGCGATAAAGGCAGTAAATAAAATCAGGGGATGTTTTTGAGTTAAAACAAAGCCACATAATGTTCTTCCGGCCTGACTCCAAAGAAACGTCTTTGGAGCATGAAAGACTACTGTGGCAAGATGCCACAGCTCCCCTGTTCTTGAGTTTATTTCACCGTTGCGTAACATAAACTGGTGCCGGTAGCCACACTGCCTGTTTATTATCAAAAAGTTATGTTGAAGATACTTCAGAAGCTCCTGATTAATGCACCTCTCATACTTCTATCCTCCCATCACCTTACTTATAACATTAAGCCGAGCTATAGGTGTGTCGTTGAGTGGATCGGTCTTAGATCCTTTTATTGAGGCGGGTTTCCAGCTTTTGCATTAAGTTCACTTCTCGCATTGTGTGCAATCGGGAGGGCGTCCAAGGTGGTGAGCGAATATCTTGGTAAGTACTTCCTCCTTTGATTCTGTGGCAATCGGTCCATCCTAGGGTACCTCCCTGTCACTTTTGTCTGAGACACTAGCTAAAACTCCAGGTACTACAGGCAAATATATTTCTTAAGACTGTATAGATCCTGCCTAAACTATTCTACAGCAGTCATGCAAGGAATTTTTCTTTGCATCTGTCATCCAATTTTCTTGGGCTATAACTTTAGTCCTTCATAGCTCCGTCATGCGGTGCGGATAGCAATGTTGATTCTCGTTAGTTTCCATAATTCGTTATACTAATCGTTACTCTTCTGCAAAGTAATCATTTATTGTACTCGTTACTCTGATTACTATTAGTGGTATGAATAATAACGATTTGGCAACGCGCGTCGTGTAATTAATGTCGAATTTGAACAACTTTAATGGAACCGAATCTTGTAAGAAAATAGACAACCTTAAAATTTGCAAAATTTTCCAAGCATAGTTTATTCAAATCTGCCATGTTTAATGCAAACATCGTATATTATAACTTTATGATAAACGAGATGGGTCATTAAAGAATAGGGTGTCATAGGACTCATATATGATCCTTCAAGCTGAAAATACTTTGTATTTACTAGAAACGCTTACAAAGCATGTCTTTTAGTTAGGAAGATGATATGTATATGGGCTCAAGGAAATTCGAAATGGCAAGTATCTTTACGAAGCATTTCAATTAAGCATGTACCAGTATAAAAAATTCTACGTGGAGCTTAGTCTACACTTGCTATTGGTGGTCATATTGAATCATGATTTTTTAGCAAAATGAGGGACAAGTAAACACGACTCAAATGTGCATAATTTTTAATATTGTGCTTTTCGTGTTGTTACCCTGTTGTCCCTTTTCGAGAGCATTAAAATGGAAGACGGGTTAAACTGTTTGCATTAAAAGCTTTATTTTTTACCTATAGCTTTTGTATAAAGTTTTTTTCTAAACGGTCTTGACCACTCTTTAACCCAGGAAATATCGTTCAAATTTGAGCGATATTTTAATGGTTTCCTAATCTTTTTGTAGATTCTGGGCATGATTATGTAAGTATATTTTTGAATGAAATCATCTGTTCCGCGTCTGTTTTAGCAACAACTGCTGAAAATTGATTCATTTTAAATTAATAAGAATCATGGGAAGTCACGATTTTCAATCAGCAGGAACCCGAACTGTGTTAAAACTATATACTCACTTACACGGGCAAAATAATAAGCTTGGTCTATCCTAGTTAAAATCTATGGATCAAGCCTGGCACAATTATTCAGATAAAAACCCTTGTGCACATTTTATGACGCGCATATTATAAATAATCATGTTTCTCATATGTTTTGGTCTGCCTGTAATTTGTCTGGGAAGACGAAAAGTGCAATACGATTTTCGTCTCGCAGGTTACTGTAATATCATGGATGAGAAACTCTGTTCTTACTTTTTTAAAATTGATCCAGAAACGACAAAGTAATCATAAAAACTGTTAACCGGCAGCATCGTCATAAACTAAAAAGTGCTATTCAGGATTTAAGATTTTGATATAAGGTTATTAGTATGAGTTTGGGTGAACCTTTATAGCCCAGTCAAAATTTCTTATTACAATTGCACCATGTGGGAATTTTGGGACAACCTGCTAGCTTCATTTGTTACCAAAAATATGCAGGGTAGGTTTAATTTCCATCACTTGACATGTTTTTGTGTGGTGTATTAGCAGAATGCTTAAGAATCAATGTCTCGGACCTTTGGATTTTGTTAAGCAACCAGAAAAGCAATCGAAAGTGATGATAACTCACCCTCCTAACAGCACACCTGAGTTCGGAGTTCCGATAACCATACACCCAGGGATTTGCAGCACTGCTGGCTAAGATAGGCAGAGCTAAGTAGACTGACATCCACGCTGTCAGAATTTTCGTATTTAGAAATACGTCTAACAACATGCATATCTGTAACAAAAGAAAGTATGATTTGTTCATTGCTGCTATAAAACAGTCCACAGCATCATGCATTTCCAGTTATTGGACATTTTCTTTCCAAGTTACTACATTATAAATGCAGTCATGGATTGAATTAAATTACGATATTCCATAAAATATTAAATATCGTTTTGAAAATTTACGGATTTGCGAATAATCATGTTTTCGTATACCTTGAGCCGAAAGCATCCCACTCACACAAATTGGATCATAGTATGTTGTTTCTCTAGTCTAATTTATCAGTGATCAGTTTACTCACTGAATTACTCGCAATATGAGCACCCCAACAAAAGTAAAACCAGGCAAAAATAGTTTATTTTATTTATTTTGTCAGTTTCTATCTGATGCCCAGTCTGATATCAAATGAACGGGGACACTGAGCGTTGCAGCGCCTGAATTTTCTGAATGTGCCCATTGTCAAAACATAGTCACGTATTTTTTGGCTACCATATAGCCAATATGGTGGCGCAAGCAGTAAAGATATGAGTTCAGAAAGTTGACATCATAAAAAATCAGTTTTAAATCTTCAGAACCAGTGATTTTTAGAAGTTTCTTAAAATATTCTTTTTAAAGCTACCGAATCATCGAGTAACTCTACCACTCCTGTACGCTGAAGCTCTAAACCTAAAAAAGTCTAAGTTTTAGAGGTTGAAGACTTTCTCTTGTTCAATCAACCTTTCAAAATCTTTCCAAAACCTGACAACCAGCACGAGTTTTACGTTGTTTAAACAGTAACATTTTGGCGGTTTTTTTGACATTTCGTAGGTTTTTCTAAAAGATGAAAATAATATTATTGAGCTACAAATGACAGCTGTGCAACGAATATTCTGTTTCCATCCGGTGTTTGGCCTAATCGGATACTTTTTTAATATTCTGTATTCGGCAGAATAGTTCACCATACCGAATCTTGAAAAAGTCAGACTTATTACCCAAAGAATATTTTTCATCAAAAAATGTTACAATTAATAACAATCAGACATAATTTTTGGTGAATAAAATTCCTTCTTTTCAGCATTTATATACAGGTCCAATGTCGAACTGCAGCGATTGAGTACTCAAAAAGTTGACCTAAGACAGTTATTAATTTGAATGGGAGCAATTCGGCTAAAATATACTCAAAGTGGCGGCACTTCTGGTTGTGCCAGAATGAAACACCAACTTGCTCATATTAGTCAATGCTGTATATTATTCCATTTGTTAGAATTTTCTTGAGATTCTAGATGCATTTGATGTAAATCATCCCACACCTAAATCTAACCGTCTTTTGCGATATCTCAAATTTTGCATAAAAGATGACAAATGGACAATGGATTTTCTGGTGTTATTGCCTATTCCGCGTGACTTGGAATTACTTTAGTAGATCTTATTCCGGATTTGGATAACAAATAGTATAGGGAGGTTGAAAAAAGAGAATGAAAATCAAATTTTAGAAAAACCAAGAAGTCAATTGACTTCATCGTATTGGAATCGTGTATACGGGGAGCACTGAATTTGTCTGACGGTTTGAGTTCAATGTGTACGAGGGAGAAGCGCGAGAAGTGTCTATAAACACAGATGTCAGAAAGAGATAGAAGCCGGCTGACCAGCGAAGTTCGTCACCCCGTTGGTTAGCATCGCTGACGCGACAATCTACCGCATTACCGATATATACCAGTTCCTTGAATTAAGATGCATGTTGGAAATATGCATTAATTTATTCTCAACTGCCAAATAATGGTTTTATCTTGAGCGTACACATTTTTGAACTGTGATTTGTCTCGAATCTGTTTAGCATCGATTCCGGATCAATTCTAATGGCGCTCGATTTTCAGACAAAATGAAAGGTCAGAGTAGCCACAAATTCGGCAACATTGCATCATTGGTTAGCTTGGCGACACCGAATTCCGTACCGTGAAATGTGGTGACATTGATATCACGGGGTGACTTTGACAACTATTTCCGGTTTAGGAATTTTTGAATTTCGCGAGCCGGATGTCAACTGCTCGAACGCGGTGACACCAACCCGTTGTTCAGTAGTAATAAGCAGAGTGATCGTGTATGGTTTGTTGTGAAATGACTGATGTGTTCGTGCTTAAATTGACCATTAAAAAGGTAAGGGTTTTGATAGTTTTTGTACCTGTAACAAAATTTGTCTGCTACTTCCGTACGATTTAAAGAACAACATAGTTTTGTTACACAACCATGTTCATGGGTACCTTGCAAAACTCTTACCTCAATGTGAACCTTATATTGTTGCAGGTTTCTTCCAAAATTCTAGCTTAGTAACGTGGTGTTAGATTGATCACCGTATTGGGTGAGCTTGATTACTCCTCTGGGGTGGCGTTGACGCCAGATTTTTATTTTCAAAATAATTAAATGTCCCTACGTAATTTATCAAAATAACGATCTATCGCTCTTTGGTTTAATGTGTTCTCAAAACTTTTGGTGGCTTACTGTTGTGTGTTCATTTTTTTCATTATGTTATGTTTGCATTGATTTGAGTTATGAACAAATAGTCGAAAAATAAACAGTCCCTAATGGCACTTTTTTTTATTCGACAGTATGATGGTGATAATCTAGGTGATTAAACTCACCTCAGGTGACCAATCTGACCCCATAAGATAAAATCCACAATAATTCCCCAACCATTTGACGAAAATGACCAGGGATCACATTGTTCGCCAACTAACACAATTATAGGTATTTCTGCACTGGAATTTATTTGCCGATCAAAGTCACCCCAAATAAGGTATAAATCTGGTCATGTAGTTTTTGCTTATTTTTGTGCAAAATAAGCTCCTCCGGTAATGAGCATTAATGAAGATAGTTTCGGACGGAGCTGTTCTTCATCAACTTTACGGAATGTATCTAATTATATCTGATTTGAAAAAGATAATCCAATATAACGTTTGTAAGTGATCAATTTCACCCCATTTCACGGTACATTCCAAGGCAAGGTTTCTACCCCCATGATTACAGATGAGCGATTCTGGACGGTACCCATCAAGGAAAGTCCTGCTTCGAAATGGTTTTCTTCCGCGTATACGCAGAGGTTGATAATTTGTATTGCGTAACGTTACTTGTTACATTTACAAAATGTAACAATAACTCAGGACCTCAGAGGTCATTTGGAGATCAACTTTGTAAATTGCGATTCTACATGAGAACATATTTCCAGACATGAAGTAAAGCGATCATGGGTGGCCCAATGAATAGGACTCTGAATATGTTTCTGTTTTGCCCCTGAACTTGAAGCCTCATCACCTAACAATTAAATAGAGACGCTTTGGTTTCCTTATTGCTTGTCCGGTCATGCGGTGGTCTGCACCTGTTGTAGGCACAAAAATCAGTTCAGGAAAGGCGGAATAAGGGATGCGCGTACATAATTGTAGGCATCCCAAATCTACGTCTCTGGTGCGCTTCACTGCCCAAATCTACGCTTTTGTATGACTGGTATGAATAATAAAACTGCATAGACTACATAGAATTCATTTTTTGGATTTATTTTGGTTCGACCTTTTTGTCAATAAGACATCTAGAACCTCTCAGCTACTTTGAAAAATCGTGGAAAGTGTGCACGTTCTTGGTATTTCGGTAAGGTATGTCTCACATCTTTAGAAATACCGAACAACTTTGACAAACCCTAACGAAGGAAAAATTCAGATGTTGTGCATCATTAAAAACTAAATCAAGCGGTCAAGCCGAACCAAACAATACAGTTTCACAGATGTAATTGTCTTGTCTGTGATTAGCGTTTTGACTTTTCTACCCGAGAACATAAAATAAAGAGAAAAATGGGTCGAGAACGGCTCCAGTTTCAACCACCTGGAGACAGTTGACGTTTGTGCCGGTTATGATTGATATCAGCTGATATATCAATTTTAAAATTATAACTGATTATAACCATAACTTCCTTTTGAAGTGACCTCGGGTTCTGTTCCCTTTGGTTTTTGTATCTTGTTATTTAATGCGTTTGTACATTTCATGTTTTGGTCATCGTTGACCCTCATATGGCTGATATGCTGATACCCATACATTACCACTAAGGAGCTAACACACGAGACAACCGCTTTTCTGCCTTCAGCAATTCTTAGGCAAGAGACCCTCGCCATACTCCGCTAAGCTACAAGTCAGCTCAGCGTCAGCATGCTGATGCTTTCAAGTATTATCAGTAGCTGCAATAGCTTAAGTGACTATTGTTGAAAATAGTTACAGAGGGGACTCAGTCATAAAGTGCTGTGTGTCGGGTAGGCACTGTTGATAGTAGTTGTCTAAAAATAAATGATATAATGAACGTCTACTTTGTATGGCATTAGTCTGGAATAGCCCCTGTTCTTGACACCAATATATATATATATATATATATATATATATATATGTATATATATAGTAAATCTAACACTTTTCTGTATAATTCCTTCTACGAGCTTGTACAATGTTTAAACTCGAGTCATTTGGTTGTCTGCAGGCATTGTTTTTTCTATTGTGTTTTGAAAATGAGTGATATACATTTTGAGCAACGGTGTGCTATCAGGCTTTGCTTCAGATTTGGGCCCACAACACGGAAACTCTTGCTAAACCTCGGTAGGCCTATGGATATGGTCAAGAGCTCAGGATATTCGGTGGCTTAAGGCATTTTCAGAAGGAAGACAGTCGAGTGAAGGTGAGCCGAGTGAAGGTGAGCCACGAAGAGGAAGGCCATTTTCAAGAACCGATGAAAATATTGACAGAATCCGGGATCTTGTGTATTCAGATCGTCGGTTGGCGGTCAGTTTTTAGCCAGTAAAAACATTTATGTGACTGTTCGGCCTTCTTATTTCCCTGACTTGAGTCCTTGCGACTTTTTCTCTTCCCGAAGGTTATTCCAGTATCGGAGTTCCAGCACTACTATGGGAGTGGAAGGACCGTCAACAGCGCTATGCGGATTCAGAAGAAATTTTTTTTGAAGGTGACAATATAAAATTGTACTTATATTTGAATAAGACAATCAGCCCCATAACTTAATTTATATAACTCGTATAACTCTTACTGCTATTGGCTAACATCATAAATACATAATTTGTGCGAAATATGTAAAACAAACAATATTTACAAAGACTACAGAAAGAACATCGATGTATCCTTTGTATTGTTTCAGAGTTCCAATGAAGATATCTGATGAGTTCTAAGTCAGAAAATACTACAGTGCCCTATACCGAGGATTTGGGTAATATCTATCGATATTTTCATGTAATACAATTTTTATATAATGGGAAATAGTGTTTGAACCGTGTGATCATGAATTTAAAATAAAATTATTAATAATCATCCAACATACTACCAGACGGATAGAATATCTACACTGAGAATCAAATTTGTCTGACGGCATGAGTTCATTATGTATGTACGAGAGAGAAGTGTGTAGAGACACATATATTAGAAAGAGATAGGAGCCGGCTGGATAGCGAAGCTCATCACCGTGTTGCGTAGCAACGCTGACGCGGCAATCTGAGTTTCCAATATGTTACACTAATTCCTTGAATTAAGATGCATGTTGAAAATATGCTTTAGTGTACTCTCTACGCCAAAATGGTTTTATTTTGAGCGTACACATTTTTGAATTGTGAACTGTGGTAAATCTGTGAAAGATCGATCTTGGAATGGTCCTAACTTTGCTCCATTTTAGGTCGAAATGAAAGGACCACAAACTCTGCAACATTGTATCATTGATTCTTTTGACAACACAGCATCTTGTACACTCCAAGGCAAGATTTACACCTCTATAGATCATAGCTGAGCGAATCTGGTCAATACCCAGCTAGCGCCAACTAGGGAGTGTCGTCCTGCTTCTAAATTGTTTTCTCCTACGTACACGCAGGCAGGGACAATTTGTATTGCGTAATGGTATTTGTTACATGAGATTTTATTTTTTTAAAAATAACATCATTGAGATGTGAGCCATCGAGACGTACGCACTGCTTGAATCTCAACTAGTGACTAGAATGTACTGCCACTGTCTGGCGTTGCTCGTTTTCGAAGAAACAGGGTCCGATGATTCCTTCAGCCGGCATTGCCGCTCAAACCGTAACATAACGCGAATCCGAAGGTCATTGGTGTTTTAATTTGGAATTTTCTGCGGCCTAATACCGGTAATTTTGCTTGATGACAAAACCACTCAAATGAAAATGAGCTTCATCAGAGAAGGGAAAATTGTTCAAACTTGAAAAGCACTCTAACATTGTTTCGGCAAACGCACCGCATAGGTGGTGATGCTGCGGTTTCAATTCCTGCACCAGTTGAAATATATATGGCTGCAATTTAAGGTATTTTACCAACATACGTCTTACAGATGTTCTACATATAACGAGCTTAGCAAATTAATCTCTTTCGGGATGATGACTGTGGATCGCGCCGTGCGGATGTTCAACTTCGCTAACAGTTTCGAAATGTCGAACCGGTAGACTCGAACTTTCTGACTCACGACCTGATCACACTTTCACTAGGACTTTGATTAAGATCATGTAAACTGAACTCAGAGGGAAACAGGTGAAACGCTCCTGTTTTAAATCAAAATAGTAAGTCGCATCCAAATTAAAATAAATAACTCTAATCAAAATGAAAAGAAAATATTAAATTAAATGTAACAGATCTCCTTCATGAGTTTGACAGTAACCTTACCTATTACAGAAGCCTGTGTACATTTTCTGGTGTAGCATATCGGCAACGCTCCAGATTGCATGACCTTCTGCGTCACCGTCGCTAGGCAATGTGATGGTTAACTCTTAAGTCGGCTACTATCTCTTTCTAACATGTGTTGATACACACTTCTCGCGCTTGTTTCTCGTACATATTGAACTCAAGCTGTCAAATATATATGGTTTTTTTCTGCATAATATTGATCATGAAATGATATCTAACGGGTGATTTTTTAAGAGGTATAGGATTTGATTTTCAAAAAAAACAAAAAACTTGAAAAACGATTAAATCTTTATTTGAGTAGATAGAACGGTCGATATAATTTAATGTTTAAAGATTATTTAATGTAAATGTTGGCCGCGGCTCCGCTTTAGATGGCCCATGCGCAAGGTCCAATTTTGGCACACTCTCTCCAACATATCGGCCGGTATCTCACGAATAAATGCTTCAATATTGGCTTCCATTTTCGATAAAAATGTGGATCTTCCTTCAACTTTGCCAGCACCCATTCACCAAATTGCAAACGTTGTGGGAGGTCGTGTGGCTTCAATTCTTGCACCAGCTGTATCTTATAAGGTTTTACACCCAAGTCCTGTCGCAAAATTTTCCACGTAGTGGAGTAACAGAGGCCCAATTGCTGCGAATTGCGGCTAATCGACATTTCACGGTCATCACTAACACTGGCGGTTACAGCCGCAATATTTTCTTCAGTCCTCACTCTACGTCTGCGTGTTGGTGGTTTAATGTCCAATAATGTAAACTGGGTTCGAAATTCAGTCACAAGCTTCCGAATAGCTCCCTCGGTGGGCCGATCAAATTGCCCATAAATTGGAAGCAGTGCTCGATGCACTCTCTTAACCGAGCATGAATTTTGATAGTAAAATTCAATAATTTGCAAGCGCTGTTCGTTCGTAAGTCGATTCATGGTTAAATTATAGACCAAACTGAACAAGTTTGACAATGACACAAGACACGATTCACGCGTCATCTGTCAAAAACAGTGTTGCCAAAAAGATACTAGCAAAAAAATCTCCCAATAGAGTGAAAAATCTGGCTGACTTCTGGAGAGCGCGCCATTCCGTTCCCCCAGGCCAATCGTTGGCGCCATCATCTGATACACAAATCTGGCAAACGTGGAGCTTACATGCTTTTAGGCAACGGCAACACTGTACCTGTTAAGAGTCATGACCTATTTTAATTAAAAGAAAGTTTCTAAACAGTATAAATACCTATCTATGACGTCTTCCATGGAAAACTCACCCCGAGAAAGACGAAGACTTCATCGAGGAGGTGATAAGAAGATCGAGAAGAGCTGTAAGAGGTGGAAGAGCCATAGATGGCATGACCTCTCCAGGCGAGGTAAGGGAAATCATCCGAAGACTCCAGGTGGAGAAAACACCGGGTATAGTTCGGGAACAGAACACTGGAAATTAGCCGAAGAGATCAACATACCAAAACCTGGGAAAGACCCAAGGTTTCCCCAAAACTATAGACCCATAAGCCTTTTGACGGCATTGAGCAAGATTGCGGAAAGGGTAATCGAGCGAAGACTGAGGAACGAAACTGAAGAACTCCGAGTAGTTCCAGTCGAACAGTTCTGATTCCGAAGCGAACATTCGTTCCAGACTCGACGGGCAGTGGGAGCTGTGTTCATGGATGCCGCTAAAGCGTCCGACATTGTTTGGCATGACAGACTGATCTACTAGATGGTAGACCTCGGATACTCAACGGGGATGATCCAACTGGTGAAGTTCTATTTGAAGCATCGTGAATTCGAATCAGGATTGGTAAAACAACTTCGACGACGAGGAATGTGGCGGCAGGAGTACCGCAGGGAGCGGTTCTATCACCCCTGCTGTATGCAAGCTACAGTTCAGACATCCCGGAGACTCCACAAACGCAACTGTACGTCTATGCGGACGACACAGCATATGCGGCAGAGAGTACGAGACTCCGCATGGTTACGGAATATCTGCCAAGAGCGACTACCACCCCAGAGGAATGGTGCATCAAATGGAAGATCCGACTTAAGCCTGAGAAGACCGAAGCGGTACTATTCCGAAGGGATCGAAGATTACCCCAAACCAAAATAAAGGTGACGACCACCAGAATGGAGAGAGGCTGGAGAAGAGACGAAGAAGTTGAGGTCGATTGGAAGGATTTCAGCACGTACCTTGGAGTCAAGATGGACCAAAAACTTACTTGAAAGAACCAAGAAGGGCCAGGTGCAGAAAGTGAAGATGGCACGCTCAAAATAAATACCTTTAATAGGCAGAAGAAGTAAAGTATCCTTAAAGAATAAGACCATCATGTTTCAGATGGTGCTGCTCCAAGTCGTGACATACGCAGCAGTAGCTTGTGGCTACGTTGCCGAAACGTTGAAGAAGAGGCTCCAAGCCCAACCAAACATAGCACTCCGTGAGGCGAACTCCGACAGGTACCGGTCGTAATCCAGATGAGAGAGAGGGCCCGAAAGTTCTTTGAAAAGAACGAATGACACCGAAATCAGCTGATTACGACCCAAGAACAATAAGGCGACACGAAAGAAGAAAAAGCCAGCTGCAATAAGAATAAAATTTGGCCCTAGCAACTGATGAGGCCAAAGGAAAGGGGAGAAGACCGACAATAGTTGTACGCTCAAGAGGGGAAAGAACAGCCCGTGTACAACGGGTGGACAAAAAGAAGCCTGTGAATTGAGGTGGCCAAACTCAAGCACGGACTCGAGGCTAACCTCAGGAGACGAAGACAAGCAGCAAACTGACTGACTATCGACTGCCTGACTGACTCCAGTCGACGAGGGATGAGCATAGGCTCACGTACCTGAATGCGGGGCTTAGGCCAAAGCCCCCAGCGCTGGTCCCGCAAGAAAGAGGCCATCCATAAAAGTAGTGAGGGGCGGGGAAGGGGGGAACAGCCAGTTACTCTTCCCCCCTTCCTCAATGTGTGAGGTTTTCTGAAACGAGGGTAGGAGTGTGTGTGTGTGTGTGTGCGTTTCATGGAAAATTACAATCCGATATTCTTCTATTTTGTCAAAACATTGAGTTATTGGGGGTAATCGAAAAAATCTTCAAAATTTCAACCTTATCACAATATCCGCCTATGCTTCACGGGATATTCTGATATGTGACATACATGACAATGCTACATTTGGCATGATGCGGACCACAGCAATGTTCTTGCTAATGGAAATCAGCGCCGAATATTCGGCGCTTTGGCTAAGGACGTGGCCTGGGACTCGGTATTCATCAAAATCGTGGCATCTCCGATACAAACACTAAACAGCACAATACTGTACTAGAACAATATCTGTTTCTTGTGTGGATATTAGATTATCTTCAAAACCATAACCTACCTGGAAGGGTGCCCACAGCACAAGAAACATCCCAGCAGTAATGGCCAATGCCAAACCATACTTGGCTTGATGATGATGCGCAACATGCTGTCCATGCACATGCCTATGATGAGGAACTCGATGATGCATACTGGAATGCCTGGCCTCATGCCTGATGGCCCTCGCATGGCCCCTGGCCACTAGGTACACGTAGCCGTAGCAGGCGAGCAACACCAGTACGCTGGGACCGTATACAGCGCAGAACATGAACAGTTGCACGGGCTTGGCCACTATGTGGCTAAATGAGCAGTCTTCAACTCTGGAATGATAATAAAAACTTTTATTGGAATTTAGATACATATCGAGTATGAAATAGATAACACTGGAATGATAATAACAACTTTTATTGGAATGTAAATACATAACAACTGGATAGAGTGATTAGCATTTGTAACAAATATTATTCACAACACATATACAGGGTTCCCAGAGGTCGACGTTAAGCCGGAAACGGGGATAGGTCAACTCATAATAGTTGTCACAAAAAAAATATATAATATATAAAAAACGTGTACTCAAATTACAGGCTTTAAAAAAATCAGGAAAACCGGAAAAATCGGAAAAATCACACTGTGATAGTCTTTTCGTTTCCATTACTACAAATTTCATTGTTTCTCGGATGGAGTGACGGAATGCGTCATTCTACGTAGTCGCAGCAAGACAGATAGTTACGCCACTTTTAAGAATTCATATGAATACGCCATCATGCACCTTATTGATGGGGAATAATAATAATAATGATGATAAAAATCTCGTCTTTCTTAAGTACACACAGGCACATCATATCTAACACCAATAGCGAAGTTTAGCCGAGGGCTTAACCACTAGTGCGGACAGGTATACGAAGTATAAGGTGGCATGAGAAAAACAAAAAAGAAAATATAAAATCCAAGCATAGAGCAAGGTAAAGCATGGTACAAATTACGAATTGTTATTCACCAAGGAAAAAAGAATGCACATGAGAGATGGTGGACACCAATATTAAGCAATGCCCATGGATAGTGTGATCCATTATTACTCATTTATAATAAGCCTTTGATACATTTCCTAAATTGGTTTAAGGATATTACTTTAGAGTTTGCATCAATGTTGTTATAGACACTAGCAGCATTGTATGTGAAACTGCGCTGGAATAAAGATGAATTATGTTGGGGATAGTGATTATGCTTCTACGTTTGATGGTTCTATAATGCGCACTACCTCTAAAAATTAACTTTTCCCTAAGATTTAGAGATTCAGATGTAAGCATTAATTTGTGGATGAAAATAAGATAACTGAACTTCACTAAATAGGCCATTTTCAACCAGCACAAAGGAGTAACCATATCTGAGATATGATCAAATTGTCTCAGACCAAAGATAAACATTACGCAACTGTTCTGAACAACCTGCAGTCTGTTCTTTGCTATGCCATCGAGGCAATGATAAAATAAAATATTACAGTAAGTAAGAATTGGTATCACAAGTGACTCGCAGAGTTTTTTCCAATTTGAAGTTCAAGATAAGCTTATTAGCATATAAAGCACGAAGTCGCAGATAATATTTCTTTAGGAGATTCTTTATGTGGTCTGTGAACCTAAGTCTCTGGTCGATAGTAACTCATAATATCCTTGTACCCGGAGAATTTTTTCTGTAAAAATCTTTACCGATAACAATGATTTTGAAAATTGACAGAGCCTTCCAATATCAGAGTTTATATTTTTTTGAGCATCGTGGATATTTTCTATATCAAAGTAGTGAAGGAGCTGCGTATCACAATTTGATGTTTTGGATACGCCCAAAAAAACACATTGAATACGACTTAATAGATAACTTCTGAAAAAACTATTAGCCATAGTACCTTGGCAAGCAATAAGTTTTAGAATAATCAATGGACACAAGAACTACACTCAGCTTTTTATCTAACGCTCTGAAGGTATTATCACAAATGTTTAATAAATCAGAGGTAGTGCTGTGATGCTTGAAGAAATCTGATTGGTTTGCCGGCAATATATTGCTTTCGTCGACATATTTCAAAACTAGGTACTAAGCCGCTTTTTCTAAAATTTTGAAATAACTGACAACAGGCTAATAGGTCGCAAGTCAAAAAGTCATCTGGATTGTTAACTTTAGATACAAGAACTACTATGGTTGTCTCCACGCTTCGGGATAGTACCCGTTCTCAAGACAAATGAACTGATGATATGCGTGACAAATAGCAATGTTACAGCCAATCTGAGCCTGATCATCGGAATACTCAAATAATCAGCACCCTTTGCCTCAGATTTAATGATGCAGTAAATATCGCTAGGTACTAGGAGGGTAAAAGAAAATATATTTTTACAAAATTTATTTAGTACTTTTATATATCATCTGGAATAAATCCAGGGTCGTAAACTGTCCTAAAACATTGATTAATAATGTCAGTGTCATTAAGATGGTCAGGTATAGTTGTTTTTCACACTTTCTACTACTTCTACTACACTCTCATGCTTTTCATCTCCGGCCACAGCTTCTTAGAATTGCTTTGTTGATTTAGAAAATTTAAATATGCTTTTCTTCTTTCCGAATGTAGATGCAATGCTAGTGCTGCAGCTAAGCTTGATCGTAAGAGGTCCCAGATGCTGCTCGTCATTCCGATTAACGACTTTTTGTGCATCTGCACCATCTACTCTCAGAGGGACTATTCCCACATCAAGCACATGGTGATGGAAGAATTCCCTTTCCTTACGAGGACGTCGTACTACAAGCAGTCGAAGGAGACCCGACTTGAGAACGTCAAATAAAAGTAAGCACGGGAGTGCCTAAAGGTACAGACTACCGAATCGTACCACTTACAAAGAGTACAATATCTACAATCCCGGGATTATCTTCCAAGAGTTGAGTTTTGTCAAAAAATGTTACAGAGACACCGGCAAGTTCTGCGATATTTAGAGAACATTTTATGGACCAATGAGTCGACATCTGAAAAAGATGATTACATGAATCTACACAACTTACACGAGTGGTATGTAGAAAATCCACATTTGATGAGACAACAGTATCGTTTTAAAGTAGACACCCTTTGAGCTGCCAGAGTTCTTGAATGGCAACATTTATATAGACTTTTTACAAAATCATTTATCAAATTTAGTGGAAGACTACACTACACACTCACAGATAAATGTGATACCAGCAAGACGCCGTCCCGGCGCATCATGCTCGTTCAGTTAGAGAATATCTTGAGGCGGACCTGACTTAGATCCACGCGATTTTTTTACTGGGGAGCAGTGAAAAAAGTTTACTCAAAGCCAATCGAAAATTTTGCTAAGCTAAAGGACAGAATAACGGAATTGATATTTTTCTGATAACCATTATGACTTGGTCTATTCCTCGTTTCCGGCTTGACGTGGACTTGATGATCAGAGTGTTAGTGGAGGATAGTGTACCAACAGCTATTCAATTTAATTTGTGGATTCTAATCTTTGTAGCTGCAGTAACGCCTTTCTTATCTCATTTATAAAGTTTTAATGAAAAGTGATTCAAAAAGCTCTAATTAATCGTTCAATAGACATTAAGTAAAGCATTATTTGAATTTATCCATTGTTTGAAATGGAATATGCAAATAGGCATTGTTGCATAAAAAACCTTGGCGGACTAAACATTTCTCTAAGGAATTAAGCAGGTAACTGGGTAATTTATATTTTAAAACTGAATGCAGTAGAGTTTCATACCGAAGCAGTACCTACACGCTACTTGAATTTTATAACAGTTTCTCTTAAATAGTAGCCGGTACTATGTTCTTGTTTATGTATATATTTGAAACAGAATCTCGTGTAGAACTTGTGCAATACTTGAATTTTGTGATTCATTTCTTCCGTAAGAAGGTTATAATATATATATATATATATATATCGCCATAGCCTAGATGAGCGAGGACTAGTGCATTGGTTAGTCATACTTTTATATCACTAGTTAAAACTTGTTTGTGTCTGCATTTACAATAGCATACTCGAAGTTTATTTATGACATGGTTCTCAAAACTTAAATTTGTGTCCAATCAAATTTCTGAATTCGCACTTGCCTCTACAATTTCAATAGCTGTAACACCAAAAACAATATCTATATTCATCAATTCTTTAAAATTTGATATAGTCAGTAGTCATAGGTTTATTTTTAATTCAAAAATAAGTGAATTATTTTCATATGGCTTGCATGCTTTATAAATGTATACATCATCAGCCTTTTGAGGTATATTCCAATCATGTGATATAAAATTTAAGAAATCAGATGTATAGAATGTACCTAGTAAATGACCTAATATACTTCCTTGCGGGACACCAGAAATTACATTTCGTAAAGTGGAGATTCACATATCTCTGTGCTCTCGGACCTGCCATCGAGGTAGTTGCTAAACCACAGCAAGGCATTACCAGACAAACCATAATATAACTTTTTAAATAATATGGTTGGCTATGTCATAATGCCTTGCAGTAATCTAACATCACCAACAGGGTTACCATACCATCATCCATGATTTTGACTATATCGCTAGTTACTTTGTCACGTGCCAGAATCACGTAACCTTTTTGTTACTATTTTGATCACTTATCAGTAATTTGAATTCCTCTTTATTGATTATAGAGTGCCGATTCATAGAGATACAAACCCTTTTCAATGATTTTCTTTTGGCAAATTTCATAGTTAATTGATTGTATAATTTCTCACGTATTATATATGTCATTCTCAGCGACTCAGTATTGTGTTGAAATTTATTTGCTCATTAATGTTATAGTATTATTAACGACTATCTTAGAAATTTCCTCATAAAATACTGTTGGTCCCTCGTAGACAGATTTTGTTCTGCCTATAATCTGCCCATTGGCAACCAGCACGCCACATTGTTATGTCTACACATACTAGCCGTAAATGAATGTTTACCTTCCTATCAAGGTAACTTCTGTTAAAATTTGCTTTACTATCTTTACCGGCTTTTATCTGTTCCTTTTGATTTTCTATCGAACGAGCCTTCTTCAGGGCCACTTATTTAACCTTCTTTTAGGGGGTTGCGTGTGCGCACGGTCCAGCGCCAGTTTCTTTTTATTCCTGCTGTAGTTTTGGTTGTGTGTAGGTGTTTTTTCGTTAACTTCCAGATCTTGGATATTAACGCTCCAAACACCAGTTTATGGAGTGGTACCTTTTATTTTGTACCTTACATTTAGTTGTGTTGGTTTGGGTACTACCCGTCCATTTTGTAATGGGATTTTGTGTACCATCGGACCACGTCCATTAATGCTTGTCC